CTGAAAATTCCCAATTTGATTGAAATATCCATACTGAGTATATTGGTGGAAAAAAATCTTACATCGACGGTAATAATTTCGAATTAGAGGGTGATGAAAAAAATAGTGGTTTTTGAATATTTTTTCGTGGTTGTCAATTTTTTCAATCGATGAATCACTCTGTATATCATGGAACTCATTGGGATACATCCTTCAAAAATATTTTGAATGTCTGGAATCAACCCGATAATACGAGGTGGCCCAATGAACTTTAGGATAGACCAATTATGCAATCAACAGCATTAATGAAACACCATGTATAATTATTATATTTTACGAATTCAATTGATGTAAGAAGAGCATACTTGGCTATAAATCTCATTTTGTAATTGTTATCAATTTGTAGCATTGATATTCAGATATTCAAAAAAACACATTATTTGAAATGAGAATCACCCTGTAATAAAAATCAGTTTTGGTCGAATACCTATATAGTTCTTGCGCCTAAGGGCATAACTATTACGTGCTCCCGAAAAATTGGAATTCATTTGTCCTATCTTAGAGATATAGGCCGAGAAAAATTAGGTATTCTTCAACTTCAACACCCTGTATCTCGTAAACTAGTCATAGGATTGAGTTGGGACTTGGCATATTCAATCAGTATGTCGAGTACTATCATTTACCAAAAATTGGGGAAATTCGACGGAACGCCATTTTTATATAGAAAAAGTGCGGGGTCCTTTCGACTCCTTCAGCAAACAATGGTACGTCTTTTCCAGCATTATATCATGAAATTCTTATTTTTGGAAGTCGTTAATATGTTAACACTGTATATTTTTATCAGTGAAAAAAATTACAAATACTTTCAGAGTAGGTATTAAAATCTAACATAACACCATAATTTCATCCATGAGTGTCCAAGATATACCTATGTGAGAAATATTGATGATAGGCCCAGTTTACATTTGACTTGGCGAAACCTACTTCCATCGATTGCTCTCTGGTGAATGTGAGTCATCATACGTCATAATCTTGTTCCATTCATCTGAGAGTCATTATTATTGTGACGGGATGACGAGATAATTAACCGTCGAAAAACAGATACTATGAGTTCTCGAAAGCTGAGAGTTGCGTGATAACTGGAAAATTATTTCTTTTCATCAAATTGAAGAAGTTTGATAGTTGATGTTGATAATTTGGTGTGAAAAATCGTATACACAGAGTGAATATATAAAATTCAGCTTCGATACTATAACTTTAGTTGAGATATGTACAATGATGCATTAAGGTTCAAGGGTCTCTGGTGAGGAGTAGCCACCATGGTGAGTCTCTGTCAATGGAGGAGGTGGTTTCTGATACTATCCTGAAGAAAATATAAGAAAATCACACTTCATAATTTGACAAAAGTAAGTTGGTTTTCTTAACACCTTTGCAACCTGTATAACCTGCCAAAAGTACCATGGACTAAGCTTCATATTTGCCTATCATTCTTGTTGTTGGGAACATGTGCTGGAAACCTTTCAGCTTTTATAGAATAATAACGAAGGACTGGCATTCATGAGATCTTGCTATTAGTTGATGAAAGTCCTCTGGATAAGCTACTATCTTCAATACACCGCGTAAATCCATATGCAGCTGCAGAAGTTTGATGCCTTCAGCAGCCTTCATAAATAGATAGATAGATAGATAGATAGATAGATAGATAGATAGATAGATAGATAGATAGATAGATAGATAGATAGATAGATAGATAGATAGATAGATAGATAGATAGATAGATAGATAGATAGATAGATAGATAGATAGATAGATAGATAGATAGATAGATAGATAACAAGAATCTTACAATCGTCACAAATAAAATCAGTAGAAATATACATCCGATTGGAATTACATTGGCCACATCAAAACTCGTTTCTAGAGTCGTTGCTCTTCAGAACGAGAAAGCTCTGGAATTCATTGCCTGAGGAAGTATTCCCAGGAACCTCCGAGAGTTCGAGAAAAATTCTAACACCTACATCCTCTTCCTATCCTCCCTAGGTACGCACGATGTTCTCCGAACATTGTAGGAATTTCCTTTCGTGCGCACCAAGCGATAAAAAAAACACAAAAGAAAAAAAGAGATAGATGAAATTCATAGGACATATATGCAGGAGGAACTCCACAATTGTATAGAAACAATGCTCCATCAATGCATCACGAATCTTCTCGTCAAATATACTATATAGTTTAGAATTTGGAAGCTGTGAGGTATGACATTGTAGTTAGGCACTGGTATATCTATAGGAATCTTGGGTTCTCTTAATTCAGAGGTATACAAATCTTATCACTGATTCTTGTTGAATATGTATGGGTATTATTTTATCAGTTGAATATTTTTTATGAATGAATAAAAGGCATTCCACAATAAAACAGCAGGGTAACGGTAAAATTGGGAGTTTCTCAAATGAAGGTTAACAATGAGATCGAGAGCTACTGAAACTCATAAGACGTATTACTGTATCTTATGCTACAAATACTTTCACTTTTTTGCTACAATTTCTTCAGATTATTAGTCCGTAAGTCAGTATACTATGAAACAGGGAAAAGAAGGCACTCTTCAACTTCAAATATTGTTTGTTCAACTGAAACCTCAATTGTTTCATTCCAGATGTCGCTTCGCTTTTGATAGGTGTTTGCACAGATCTAGAGCGTGGTAGCTGAAATCCGTGTAGGTTCAAGCTGTCTAACAGAGTCCTGAACCCTTTGCCCGAAATCGAAGATCAGATTCAAGCTGACTGAGGAAATTATCCAAGTCCTGCTTGCTCATGGTCTCTAACCACTTGCAGAGTGAATCCGGGCTCCTGGTGGTCACAGACCCCATCCAGAACCATTCTGAAGACGCCGGATGAAACATGAAGGTCTAGTCTTGTTATTGCCATCTAGTGGCATAGTTCTTATCTATAGTCAACACGTGAAAACCCCTGCGTCTAGAATGTTGCAAATTAGTACTACAAGTAAACCGCTCTACAACACTACCATGTCTACTTGAGTGGTATCATCCACCAGTTCTATTCATTCAACTAGATCTCATAACTAAGAGTTTTAGGATGAATAGACCTGCCCAAACTGTAAGCAGGAGCAACCAACCACTGGGACTACTCAACGCTTCGGGAATATGACCCATTTTGAAGACGCCAGATGATACATGAACACCATTCTCTTGTATGGAGACAATTAGAACAAACTCGAGAGTTTGTGGCCTCACTGATCTCGTGGAAGATGTAACCGAAAAACGATGGCAAGCGTGTTGGTTGCGGCTACCCTGTTCTTCTTGACAGTTTTGACCTGTGGTTTTGACGACGAGGTCAGTCAAAGTTGGTGCTGATACTTGCAACGGATACTGGTATTCACCATTTGTGACTCCTGGACATGGCTCTCCTCCGGTATTAAAGATCAGTTTAGTGTATGGTGCCAACAAAATATGTTGATTCTGAATACTGCCAAATCAATATCTGTCAAGTTCTATACCATAACAAAAAATTGAGATGACCTTTTCACTATTTATGATAACAAATACATTCGTATTGTGGAGGCGCGGAATATTCTCAGATTAATTATGAACATGAAAAAAGTAATATTTATACAGGGAGATTCACGGTGGATGACGTTTCTGGAGAACGCAACCCAGGATTATTGTGAAACATTGGTGCCTCGGATAATTATCTGTGTTCTATCGACCTGAAATATTCTCAGCGTTGCGACGTTGCCGCTTATATGGAAAAATAGCAACAATTTCGATTTTTCAACAAAACACCCTGTATATCATATCGTTTCCAGATTCTACCTGAAGAGCTGATTCCATCGATCTATCACACTTGGGGTCTAGCGGGAATGAAAACAAAGATATAGGGTGTGAAAAATCGAAATTTTTCAAGTTCAAGAACTTCTCGTGCCGAAACTTCATAATTGATCAAAACGGTTTTCATGTCCCCTACATTCCATGTACTATCAACGGATATTTAATTGAAAAAAATACAGGGTGGTTCAGAATTCAGATTTTTGTTGCTACTTTTCAATATAGGTGGCAACATCGCAACGCTGAGAATAATAATTGAGGTCGATAAAACACAACTGAATATCCAAGGCACCAACTTTTCAGAATAATCCTGAGTTGCGTTCTCCAGAAACGTCTATTGTGCCATCCACCGTGAATCACCCTGTATGAAGCAATAAATTGAGAACTCGCAATCTCTATGTGATGAGAAGATCAATCAATCATTTCTCGGTTTATTCAACAGAAAACAACTACTTGCCTGGTTATATGCCACGACGAACATTGAATTATATCTATTGAACACAAACGATAAGAATTTGAAAACAAAATCTTCTGAAGTTCTGACAATTCGAATTCTCCATCAAATGAAGATATGTATATGCACATGATATCATTCCGAATATTCAACTGAGAAAACATCATTTTCCTGGCTAATTGCCACGTCGAACATTGAATTATATCTGTTAAACATCCAAAAGGAGAGCATGAAAAATTTAAAACCTCTGAAATTGAGAATTGACATCCTCTCTCAAATCTGATGAATAAAATGAAGTATTATGATATAAATATATGAATAAGCAATGGGTGGAAGTACTGCTTCGCCAATATTGGCGTTGAGTCGGCTACTGGGCAACTTTATAGTTATTTACCATTGAGCCGATATTGAGCCAATGATAGTTCACTGTAGTGACATTGCTCTAGAAGTGATGGCCCAATTGATGTTTGCTGGGTAATCATACCCAAATATTCAGATTCACCGTATACAGAATAAATACGGAATATTATCGAAAATATCAATCATCATCGAGGATTGTTATTGTGTTGTGGTCAACATTCTAAAAGTATTTGTAAAAGAGAAATAGATAGATTCTACAATCAGAATTATAATGTCCTCTTTGCATCAGTTTACCAAATCAATCGATTATTTCGACTATAGTCCGGGTTTTTCTAAGTACGATAACATTCCTTCTTCGTTATTTATAAGAAGTGGACTGAGCGACTGCGGTCAACTGTATACAATTTATAAATATAGGTTTAATCGGCTATTTGTTTTCATTTAGCCATGTTTATCAATGGGAAAAGATAACACAAGTGTATGTTATGTTGAGTGACTTATTGTGAATCAAAAGATGTATGTTAGTGTTTCAAGAATGATGTGGAGACTCCACATATTTGTGATAATCATAGTAATAAGTTCAACAGAATGTCGTAGATCTGGTGGAGGCAGTAGACCATCTTATTGTAAGTATACATCAATTTTTTCAGAGGCAATAATAAACGCATGACCTCAAGCTGAGTACCTATTAGCATAACTTTCACAATATTCGTATTGTGAGATGTTGCTGATAAGTTTTAATTGGAAACACTATTGCCAGATGTGGTAATTTTCCAGTTCCATACCAGTGAGATTTTTGGGTAGTTCTACTTATCCGCACGCCGTGCGGATAACACCCATATCCGCACTGAGTGCGGAAAAGTATTACTTTGCGCACGCAAATGAGTGCGGAAAAGTACTACTTTGCGCACGCTCGTAGGAAAAGGTACCTATTTGAAATACTGTCTTCTCTGTATTAATCGAGGAGGGGGTACATATTCATTTTACTTGATTATTTACCAATTTAGAACCTATCGATTTCAGACAAATCTCACCCAATTCAACCATGAACTTTGTAAAAAGATGTGGATTGTACGGTGAACTGTAACCTCTAGGGGTGAGCCACAATAGACCCATCTGGGGTCGCAGTGGAGGGGAGGTATTCGCCCCACTCACATGGAACCTAACCCAACCTACTTGATTATTTGGGATTTTCTCTCCTCGTAGTCCTCGTTTCTATATCATCATTTCAATAGCATTGCTTCTTGTTCAGCTGATATAGACAGAACATGGTATTCACTACTAAAATCTGAACATGAAAATGGTAAATTCAAGATTAATTAATGAAACCATCCTTTAACTCGTTTGATTGCCAACGTCACCAATTGTCATTGAAAACTGAAAAGCTTCAAGACATATTATACGACTTCGCTATTGAAAAAATCTCTTTTCATGTTGAAAACGGGAGCAGAATCGGTCCCGAAACGTTTTAAGATAAGTGAAAATTTGAAATTTTTTCCATATACCTTTATTTCTCTTCTCCAAAAATTTTTCAATACAAATTGTCGCTGACAACCTAGTGAATTTTCCTTTTAGGCTCTCTGATAGGAAAATTCTTTAAACGCAGTGACATTTTGAGGCAAATCATCTGATTTGTCCTTACTACACGTATATTGAAATAATATTCATATTTTCATTTTATAGAAACGAGGAGAGAAAATACCAAAAAATTTGGAACAATCAATATATATGTAGTAGGACAAATCATATGATTTGCCCCATAATGTCACTGCGTTCAACAAGTTTTTCTATCAGGGAGCCTAAGTGAAAAATTCAATAGCTTGTCAGTGACACTTTGTATGGAAAAATGTTTGAAGAAAAAAAAAATAGCTATATTGAAAAAAATATCGAATTTTTACTCATCTTCAGATGTTTCGAGAACGAATCTGCTTCCATTCTCAACATGAGAATGTGAAAATATGTTTCTTTGAAAGTTGTGCTCTTATCGGTTGACACTTCTCAGAGACATACTCATGATATAAATGAGTGGAATCTAACATTTTCATGTTCGCATTGACATTTTGGAACAAATCATCTGATCTGTCCTATATGTGTAATAGATTGAAATTATACTTATATTTTCATTTTATAGACAAGGACAGAAAATCCCAAATAATCAAGAAAAATCAATTCATTTCGAAATTCACTTTATGATTAAAAATGAACTTCATCTAATTCCGTAAACCATTGGTCAAGGTTCATTCTCATACTTCAACATTCAACACTATTATAATGAAATGGAAAACGAGTATTTAGTTATTCATTTATTTATTGAAAGGGAACTGACTGAACAAGAGAATACAATTATTCTATTATATTTTTAGCAAGACCCTCATACCATCCCTCTCCTTCATACCACCCTTCGCCATCTTACCACCCCTCACCATCCTACCATCCCTCACCATCTTACCACCCCTCACCATCATACCATCCTTCACCATCATACCATCCCTCACCATCATACCACCCCTCACCATCATACCACCCCTCACCATCATACCATCCCTCACCATCCCACCCCTCGTCATCTCACCCATCGCCATCTCACCCATCGCCATCTCACCCATCTCCATCTCACCCATTTCCATCTCACCCCGCTCCTCCCGTTTACCGGCCCCCTGGATATCCAGGATCAGGTTCTGGAACAGTGAGGCCTATTGGATGGCAGCCGCAGGGTAGTCATGGATCTGGACCAATCGGGCCACCCAAAACGAATGCTCCATTGGGAACCGCTCCAGGAACCTCTCATGGTGCAGGTGAGAACATGTCGATTCAGATACAGGGTATTATGCAATAATGCGGCCGAACTTCAAGGGGTTATTTCTTTAGTGATTCGTAGACGAAAACTTATCAGAAACATTGGTACGGATATGCCAATATGGAGCCAAAGTCCTGCAAAAGTGACAATATGTAAAATGACAGTATATGCGGAGGTGTTGTCCAATCAATAGACGAAAGGTGCTTACAAAAATATCGGATCCTCAATTTAGAGTGATTTCGGAGGAAATAATAGTGACCCTGTCTTCCAAGTAATTTTATGGGGTGATATTTCACTTGCACTAGCGGGCGGTAAAATGCACTTTACCGCCCCGTTTTGCGAACATAAAGTATGGCCCGCAGGCCGTAAAATATTCTTCTGTTTTCGAATTCCTTATATCCACATACCAATTCATGAAATAACTGTTCGCACTTCCGATGATACTTGAAGTGGGAGAAAGTGACGTTTAATGAGTATAAGGAAGTTAATTTCAACAAAGAAAGAGAGATTGTACGAGTACATCTGATGAACCGTTTTTCTTGGCCCAATTATCCTAATATACCCGTTATCTATAGTTTCTCAATTTTTATAGTGGACCTTACCTTTCTGTGATTTCTTGATTCGTCATCACTAATGACAGGTTAATAAGTCACTGATGAGGAGTGAATAAGTCGCTAATTACATGTTATTAGGTAACTAATAACGAGTGAACAAGTCACTAATGAGAATGAGTAAATAAGTGACTGATCTCAAATGGATAAGTCACTAATTATAAGTGAATAAGCCACTAATGACATGTGGATAAGTTACTAATGACAAGTGAATAGCTCACTAATGACGAGTGAATAAGTCACTTATGACAAGTGCTGTGTTCACTAACGGTAATCAATCTAAAATTTATTGAAACGGGTTGATAGTAGTATAGGTTCACATTTCCAGGCACACAAATATTCTTGTGGCAATAAACTTATTTCCTTGTCCCAACTAGTATAGAAGTTTTAACTTGCCACTATTGAATATTAATGATTTTTTTCTTCTCCGTGTAGTCATTACTTTCGACTCGATTAATGAATCACTAGTGCATAAAGTATTGTATGCATCACGTGCGTAAAATGCGTTTCTGGCCTTCAGCGTGTAATGGACCTCGGCTGGCGGCATCGGGCCATTATTCACGTCGCATGCTATAAACGCCTACCTCACACCCTTGAAACATGAATAAGCGTAAAAAACTATATTTAGATCTCTAATGAAACAATGATGGAATTTTCAATCATAAAAACTACTGTGTATAACAATATAAATAATGTCAATACCAATATTCAAGTTATATGGAACTTGAAACTTCAGTGTTTTGCTGGAAGAATACACACTTGATTTCAATTTGCGATAATTGAATCAGAAACGACTCTTATCTGAACTACATTCCTACGAATGAACGATATGATGTGATTCTCACAAATACTATGGAATGCAGCAATAGTAGGTACACTCGTCTTCAGCGAACATGTCGCGGTTGGACGGTATGAGCGCTCTTATTGCAGCGGTGATCAAGAGAGCTGACACCGTCCATTTGCGACATGATCTCTGAAGACTTCTAGACTTCTTGTTTTGTCGAAGAAAATAATGATGATACCAAATATTATGCCCATAATATTATGGTCAGTTTTCAAGAGAGATAACATTGACACCATCAACACTATTACTCCCACACTATAATTATGTTCTTTTTATGCACTAGGTACTAGATTCAACCAAAACTAAAAATGCTCCAATGTCTATTTGCTTTTGACTTACTGGCATGACATTCTTACAGGAACCGGAACTGTTAGACCAATAGGCTTCCAACCTCCAGCTGGCCATCCATCAGGACAACCGATAGGACCACCCAAAAACGTTGGCCAACTAGGAAACAATCAAGGTAGGTGCCTACTACACCAAATGAGGAATATTTTTCAGTAGAACTTTCTATACCAACAGTATTTTCATCTTCATAATAAAATAACTCTTTCTATGATTATTCTCTTTCTTTATTCATACATCTCGAAAAACAGTGTGTGTTTATACAAGGATATGATATACCTAACATAAAATTAAATATTTAACATGATATGTATAATATATGATATACGGTATGTATATGTGTTACTATGAGTATGGATTCTCAAATAATTTCAATGATAGCAAAATAATACGTTTAAAAATAAGCATAATAATCATCTCACATTTACAAGAAATGGAGTTTCAGCCGTCTTTTGTACTTGTATTATTCAACTGTTCCAGCGAGCCAGGAAGAGAATTATATATAATTATTTCATCATGAAATAATTGATTCTTTTCCATAATTAGTTTTGATTCTGATAGTCGAGAGTCCATTATAATTTCTAGTTCTACGATTATAAATACTACTGATTTGGGTGAATGTTTATTAAGATATTTCACTTAATGAATAAATGTACATATTTCCATTTCATTGTAGAGATTCGTAGGTAGTTCGTTCCAAAAAAGGTAGGTTGAATATTAGTTTCATTGCTTTATTTTTTTGGAATTTGTGAAGGTATCAATATAGATTGATTAGCAGAACCCCAAACAAAAATCAAGTAGGTACTGTATCTTAGAATAAATGAGGCAATAATATATATTCATAAGATACATCCTCGGATATGATACCGGAATCTATATATTATTATTTAGATGACTGGTCTTATTTTATTACGTAATTTCTCATAAAATTAGTTATTTCGAAAATTCTGTATAATTGATTTCATTAACACCAACTTTCTGCATTCTGTATTTCCTGCACAGCCAGTGCCCTGTTGGGACTCCTGTTGGTATACAAGGTTCATTTTTGCTGAGGCTGGTTAATGTTTCTGATTTTTTTGTGTTTTTATGTACCCAATATCAACTTAGCCTATCTGCGACCATGATATTTTTTCTAGATGTCCAATTTCTGTTAAGCTTCTTCGTTTGCTGATTACTTCTGATAGAGTACTACAGCTGATCCCGCAGAAAGATTTTGGTCCCATTAATATAGTGTTTGGGCTGATTCCCTAGCGAGATTGTTTGCTAGTCACTTTTCCTTTCTTCCGGAGTGCGCCGGAACCCATTGCAGTGTGACTGTATTTCTGTTGGCAATATCAGTTTTTCCCGGCAATCCCAAATCATTTTATAGCTGACAACCATGAAGCTGAGCGCTTCAATAGCTTCTTGATTATCGGACATGATAATAATATCTCGTCTTTCATAACAATCCTGACATTTGGAGATACTTCTCCTAACTGCACTTATGGGGAAAATGAAAGTTTTTTATCGATGAAAAAATCGAAACAAACAACCAGATAGATTGTGAAATTACCCTGGCAACTCTCAGCTTCCTTTATAACACGAACTCTATGGTCTCAATCTCTTTTATATACATCCTTATGAGATTTGCACTATCATTATTCGAATCATCAATTTCAGGAGCCCATTATGGACAAAATCCCCCAGCATACAACCCAAGCTTCAACCCAGCTGGTTACGGCCAACCTCCAGCATACAATCCTGCAGGTTATGGACATGCTCCTGCCTACAGTCCAGCAGGCTATGGACACGCTCCACCAGCATATAGCCCAGCAGGATATGGGCATCCTCCTCCTGCCTATAGCCCCGGATATGGCCATGCACCTCCAGCGTACCATCCAGGAGGCGGTGGAGTCACCATCATCAACAACAATAACAACAACCATCATTATGGCGGGTACCCTGCCCCCAGTTACCATTACACCACCCACGATACGGGTAGTGGCACTCTGGGATTCTTTTTGGGATACTCTCTTGGGCGCCTGAACACTCCTAGCTATCACTATCACAGTGGCTACCACTACTATGACACCGGCGCCAGCTATTATCCAAGATACGACCATTATGAAGTACACCATTACTACCACAACAACCAGAACGTGCCCAAGCAAGCGGAAATACAGCCCAACGCCGTGGTTGCTTGTGTTGGTGACAGCGGTTCTTTCTGTCCTTCCAATACGATTTCTCTGTGTACCAATAATGGTGCCGTTATGTGCGTTGCCAAGGCTGCATCGACGGTACGATGCACCAATGAGAAGCAAACCAACTGTGTGCAGAGCACGGTACCATGTTTGAATAACTCTGCACCCGAATGCAAGCAATCTTCACAAAATGTAACAACGATAAACTTGCCTTGCATTTCAACAGCTATCATTTACGGGAATGTAACTTATGTTAACAATACAGTAGTTATTGTAAATACTCCACCGGTTAATGGTACAAGCAATTTGAATACTACTACTACTCCTTCTAGTACCAATTCTACAATTCTTGGTACTAATTCGACTAATATCAGCTCAAATACTACGAATTCCAGCTCAATCAATGCAACTGAAGCTGCAAACGCTACGGATACAATGAAAGGTCCTCCTCAGGCATTTTGTGTTACAATTTTGGCATTACCAGCTGAGAAAAAATTGACACAAGGTGATAAATTCTTTCAAGCAACGAATAACATATTTGGACAGTTTGCAGTAAAGGCGTTAGGATTATTGTGAGTTAAATGTATATATTTCACATTTTGAACAAAGTGGTGCTAACGAGATAAGAATTAATTTGATTTCCTTCTCGTCCTTGATAAAAAATGAAGAAATGCTATTTCTATTTCTTCACCAATCTTTGAAAGTGTTTCAATAATTATACGAGTTCCAAAGTGCAGATGAGGTCAATTACTTTCTTTCATCCTCAACATTATTTTACCTACCATTGAATCATTATATGAAGGCTGATTATGGACTAAAGAACCACAATCATTTTCTCTCGATGTGCAGGAGTGGGTGGCTGGAATTACATATTTCGTACCTTCTCTCAACTCATTTCTCAACATAACAACTTTCACATTCTTGAAGAGAATGATAGGTACTTGGGACATTATGAAATTTTTGTACCTGTGGAAGCAGATTATCAAGCTCTCGATGGTGCCTTTCGCTATTGAGGAAATGCAGAAATTTCCATATTTACAAAACACTCCTGAAAAATCTGGAATGATTGGTTCTTTGCGCATCGCCGTAGCTTCTCAGGTAAGGCACTAGCCGTTTATACACGCATGATTTCCATGTATTCGAGCGAACGAGTACAGCAGTGTACGCCGATGACACGGCTATAAATTCTCACTCGGACGACTCGAATATCGCCAGAGCGCAGGCACAGATCCAGAATCATCTGGACAGGGGAATCATACCGTATTTTGACGAGTCAGAGATCTGCATCAATAGTGCGAAGACAGAAGTCATCAACTTCCATAAAAAAGTCAACAACTCCAAGTTGAGCAGACCTCTGACCGTCAAAGGGGTTGAGGTGGCAGCTGGGAGTCAAATTGGACACACGTATGAGTCTCAGGAAAAACACCAACTATCTGATAAAAAAAAACAGTCTGCGATCAAGAAGATGTATCCCTTGTTATCCAGGACCTCTCTTTTCTCGCAGGACAACAGGGTCCTGGTGTACCAGCAGATCATCAGACCTGTGATGACGTACGCGTGTCCAGTGTTCTGCGGCATCTCACCTACTCATATGAATAGGTTACCGGTGCTACAGAACAATGTACTCCGTATTATCACCAATGGTGATAGATACTCTCGAGTGGTAGATCTCCACGAGAGATGTGGTAATTTGCCTAGAATCAGTGAATACATCCTGAAAATAGCTGATAGATTCTACAAATACCACATCGCTGGAAGTGACCTCACCCAGAATATCACAACACTCAGACAACATCATAACATACACAAAAAACACGGGCTTATATATGCATCAACCGATGTGTTTAGGGAACCTGATAATCTATAGTCGGGAACCTCCCTGGATCCTCGGACAGGTCCGAGCCACCAAGAAGAGTCTAGACAACACTATCTCCCAAGCATAAAAATAATAAAGTGTCAAACATATGACACTGGACTCGGGCAGACGTGCCCATGTGGAAACACATGCGCACAACTGCCCGAGACAAACAAGAAGGAGGTTTTTTATTTTGTTACTCTATTTTTCCTTCAACTCCAAGAAATTCTTCCCACTCTGATCGCGCACGAGCAGCCCCCCCAACCGTTTGAATACCTTCAGCGAGATTACCTATATAAAAGGGCCTAGCCCTAGGAGATAGGTCACTGCGACGAACACCCCACATATCCTCTCACATTCCTTGGCCAACAGCAGCCATCTCTGCGCCAGTGGAGGAACGATCAGGCACACTCACAGCTGTGCCATAACTAATATTACGTAATTGTGATAGACATGATATGTGTTGTATCTGTAAAATGTTGAAGATGAATAAATGACTTTAATACTAGCCATTCGATATCGCAGTTTCGAGCGCGGTTAGTACTTGGATGGGGAACATTAGAGGAAACGCCGCGTAAGCCCGTACATCTGTAGCGGAATAACATATCGTATCTACAGCTACCTGCTACCATATCAATGAGCACACGATATGGTACGGATATGCCGTCCTTCGGAGGGGGCGTTAAGCCGGCGGTCCCGAGGCCATGGATGTTGGACTCGTTAAAGATCCCTACCTCTGGTTGAAACACCAGAGGATTTGGCGAAATTTCCGGTTGGGGGTAGTGTGCTCAGTATCAGAAAAAGGCCGACGTTAAAGAAACAAGGATGAAGAAGAAGATTGTTTCTCTATTTGATTCTATGAATCAGCCAGTCACTGTATATGGGTAATTGAGTGAAGCTACACCTATAGGCCTAGTACATGACCTGACTATGAGAGAAAACAAGTTTCGGCTGACACAGGCCCATTCAAACCCAATACGAACACTGAAATATTCTATAATTATGAAATAATCTCTTCCTTTTATTCGTGCCAGGATTCTCTTTCGTTTATTCCTGAGTATTTCATCACCACAAACCATGAATATTTTGAATTCGAAATTCTCGTTCTCACAGAAAAACTCTATAGGTTGCTCAAACGTCGGGATGATGGAGAGTAAGAAGGTTGTCTGTAGGTTAATCGAGGAGGTGGTATATTCATTATTCCAAATTTTTTTGGGATTTTCTCTCCTCGTTTCCACTAAAATCTGAACATGAAAATGGTAAATTCAAGATCAATTAATGAAAACATCCTGTAACTCATTTGATTGCCAACGTCACCAATTGTCATTGAAAACTGAAAAGCTTCAAGACATTATACGACTTCGCTATTGAAATAATCTCTTCTTATGTTGAAAACGGGAGCAGAACCGGTCCCGAAACGTCCAAAGATAAGTGAAAATTTGATATTCTTTCTATATACCTTTATTTCCCTTCTCCAAAAATTTTTTCAATACAAATTGTCACTGACAAGCTGGTGAATTTTTCTTTTGGGCTCTCTGATGGGAAAATTCTTTAAACGCAGTGACATTTTGGGGCAAATCATCTGATTTGTCCTTACTACACGTATATTGAAATAATATTCATATTTTTGTTTTGTGGAAACGAGGAGAGAAAATCCCAAAAAATTTGGAATAATGAAGTAAGAAGGTTCATTGTATACACAGTGCCTGAAAGGGTAAATGCAGGAAAGCGGATGATAGGGAGAATAATACGCAGATCCGGATTGAGACCACGTGGCGCCCGAGGCACATTATATTTTTTCGCCCCCTACACATTATGATAATAAAAAATAGAAAAATGTGTCATCTCGAATTGTCTTCTTATATCATCGTTGACACTTCTCAGTGAGTTCGCCATTTTCATGAAATGTTGAAAACGGGAAGAGATTCGTTCTCGAAACGTCCAAAGCTCAGTTATTTGATATTGTTTCGATATATCCATAATTCTCTTCTTCGAAAATTTCGCAAAACAAGGTGTCACTGACAATCGATTGCCTATAGACTCTTTGACAGAAAATATTTCAAACGCAATGACATTTTGGGGCAAATCATCTGATTTGTCCTCAGTTCAGGATAGGGTGCTTGGAAATCTCAATTCTGGACCACCCTGTACCTATCTCAATTGATTAACAATTGATTGTGAATGGGAAGTTGAGATAGGGACATGGAAACCGTTTTGACCAATTATGAATAGTTTTGACACAGAAAAATCTTTTAGTTGAAAAATCTAGATTTTTCAAACCCTATATCTTCGCAATTGTTACTGCTAGACCCCAAGTTTCATAGATCAATGAAATTTGTTCTTCAGGGAGAATCTGAAAAAAAAAAGTAATATACAGGGTGTCCCATTCAAAAAATCAAAGTTGTTGCTACTTTTCAATATAAGCGGCAACGTCGCAACGATGAGACTATTTCAGGTCGATAGAACATAACTAATTATCCAAGGCACCAACTTTTCAGAATAATCCTGAGTTGCGTTCTCCAGAAACGTCTGATGTGCCTGTGAATCATATTGAAATGATTTTCATATTTTCATTTTATGGAACCGAGAAGAGAAAGTACGAAAAAATCTTATGGAAAAAATTGTAGTAGATCACAAGCACGATACATCGTTCAGAACTCAAAACTGGCACTAATAAAAAATATATAACAGATGAAAAAATATTATTGAGCACCCTTTTTGATCTTGAGCATTCACTATATAAATGTCTCAATAATGCATCGTTCATCAAGAATGAGGATATAGACAGAATAAAGATATCAATCTCGTTCAGTTTTTTGTAATTTTCTCATGATTGATAAAATCTTCAAAAGAATACAATTCTCGATCACTGCGAAAAATTCACTTGTCTTTTGCCCACTCATCGGCTAAATTTTTGCCCCTAATAAAATAATTAGCCCCTGGGCAGTTGCCTCTGTGTTCAATCCGGCACTGATAATATATGAGAGAAGGCGTTCGAAATCTTTCCGTGAGTGGATACTCAATTATTCTCTCTCTGCTTCTGCCATAGAATGCCATAGACCTGCATATATAACCTTAGGGCATAGAAAACGCCACTCCTGTTTGCTACATATTTTATACGTTTCTCTAAATTTTTTGGGAATTTCTTTCCTCATCTTTGTGAATTATAATCCAGTTAATCCAGTGCCTTTGTGTAGTACAGTTGTGTGCATAATCAAGTCTTACAAGGTTTGTATGGTGTTACTGTTAGCCTGCCTATGATGTTTGAGATTTCCAGTGTTGCCGCGGCAATACATTTGTATAGTTCATACGAAGTCAGTTGAGAAAGTCATGAAAACTTTTAACCGGCTGCATGTCGGCAAATCCTTTGACAAGCTGCAGCTAACAGCGGCGGGTGAAATATTTTTTTCGTTGCCACAAATAAAAGTTGTTTTCATATGAATCTTTGACTGTTCAAAAATTACCTATATTTCCATATTGGAACATGAGAGTATCGAATATTATGGTAAGTTTACCCACCCATGAGGTTTCACCATGGCTCGTTATTACTTGTTTTCAGTGGGTGTTCGCCAATACTCCTATCGTTCCACATTTGGAATATGAATATAAAATTGAAGTAAATCAAAATTCTCAACAAGATAAAAGGATATAACATTACTTGATGAAAATTCTCCACAAAATGAAATCCAAATGAAACATTAAACTCTGAATTAAATTTCTGAATATTCGAGATTGTACAAGGTAAATTACTCAATTGAACATTGTTCTGAATGGTTTGAAAGCATACGAAGAAAATCATCATATATAATACCACAAGTGATAATATTTCCAGGAAAATAGTATCACGAGTTGTATTCGTATGACTATTTCATGATTGAATG